CTACTCAGTCCTGTTTTTTGAGGATTGAGTAGAGGCGGGGGAAATCGCACGAAGCTGCGGGGCAAAATGCGGCCGCGCAGCAGCTTGTGTGAAATTGACACGTACCATCGGGGCAAAAGGGAGGAGTGAGCGCGGAGCAGCGCTTGTGGGAAATCACCCCAAGTGTTTGTCCAGCCGCTGCTTAAGGACTGCCAGTGAGGGAGAGCCCACCACCTCCCCAGGCAGCTGATTCCACTGTTGCGCAACTCTTACTGTAGAAAAGTTTTTCCTAATATCTAGCTGATACCTTCCTGCCCTTAGTTTAAACTTCGTGCAGCACGCATAAGGGTTGCTCCCTGTTTTATCCTCACAGTAACCCTGGGAAGCAGGTCAGGCTGAGAGAGCCCGACTGGCCCAAGGTCATCCTGTGAGCTTGATGGAGAGGAACAGGGATCTGTTCTCTGATCTCCAGCCACGATACCACATTAACATTGCAATTACTGTACTTGATGTTGTTGTTGTTCGCGACCCCATGGACCAGATCACGCCAGGCCCTCCTGTCTTCCGCCGTCCTCTGAAGTTTGCTCAATTTCATGTTCGTTGCATCGATGACACTGTCTATCCATCTCATCCTTTGCCGTCCCCGTCTTCTTTGACCTTCAATCTTTCCCAGCATCAGGGTCTTCTCCAGTGAGTGCTCCCTTCTCATTTGGTGGCCAAAGTATTTGAGCTTCAGTTTCTTTATCTGGACTTCCAGGGAACAGTCAGGGTTGATTTCTTTTAGGATTGACTGATTTGATCTCCTTGCAGTCCAAGGGACTCTCAAGAGTCTTCTCCAGCACCATAGTTCAAAAGAATCTATTCTTCGGCGCTCGGCCTTCCTTATAGTCCAACTCTCGCAGCCATGCATGACTACTGTACTGTACTAGAAATCAAAGAATTACTCTCCAAGCAAATGTGTGACCAAACCCGGTTAGGAATCGGTTAATGACTGACTGGGTGTTAATAATGCGGCATACTGACCCAGTAACATCATTTCCTAAAGCATCTGGTGTGCTTTTGAAGTCACTCTCATTCAAGTTCTGACTAAGCCCATCTTCTGAGCCCAAGGCGGAATGTCTGGAAGTGTTGTTCTAACAAATCTTTGCCGAGCGTGTCATAAAGAAATCCTCTGAAATATGTAAATATTAATCACTCCAGGTAACGTGTTTTCTTTACGGTGCCAGTGAGAGTTTGTGGGGAAAATTACAGTTTACATATTTGACCTTGGTTGGGAGGATGGTGACAGATTAAAGTTAACTGCAAGTATGAAAACCTACACATTTGTGTACAGAGTACATTAAACACAGTCTTGACTGAGCACCGCAGTTGCCGGCTGCAGTAAATACACTTACGTATGTGTGAGACTTCAGACATTATACAGCTAAGTATAAGGGGAAATATACAGTGAAGGCTAGCCCGATCTCGTCAGATTTCAGAAGCTAAGCAGGTTCGGTCCTGGTTAATATTTGGATGGGAGACCACCCAGGCATACCAAGGTCGTTACACCGAAGCAGGCAATGGGAAACCACTTCTGAACATCTCTTGCCTTGAAAACACTATGGGATTGCAATAAATTGGCGGTGACTAAACAGCACTTTATGGACACACAGAAGTGTTAGGGTTACCATAATTTGAAAAGCAAAAGAGAGGACCTGTTCCCCGACTGACTACTTCAAACAAGTGATCACCACGACAGATCTCATTTTAAATACCCCCGCTATTTAAGCTGTGATCATCGCTACTAATTAGGAATATTCCTAACCTTCCAACCCAAAAAGAGGACATTTTCATCAGTAACCCTATTTTTGGTGATGATTTCGGCCAATCACCCTTTAGTGGCCTGGTTCTGATGGGACGTTTGATTAGACATCGGACTGATTTAAAATCTGATCTCTCTGCTTTTACATGGTATTTTATGATATTATTATGTGCAAATTGTTATTTTAACATTAATTGTATTATTTTAGTTGGTGTACACTGCCCTGAGCGGATAATAATAATAATAATAATAATAATTATTATTATTATTATTATTATTATTTCAGCAAGGTGGGTCCATCCTTCTTTGTATTTGCCAGAGCCCTTTGACCATTATTTCTGCAGCGAGTGGCTCACTGGGTCAGTGTTCAACTGAGTTTTGGTCCCATGCATGGTAGATTCCGACCAGACGATTGGTCATCTGTGCATCCAGTATTGGCCCTGTATCCTATAATCACACTTAGGACCCCCTTGAGCTACCAACAGGGGTTGCATCTTTGAGAGAAAGCTGGGATGAGGCTGTGAGCATCTGCTTTACATGCAAAAGGTCCCAGGTTCAGTCTCTGGTATCTCACATGAACACACATGAATCTGCCTTTATACTGAGTCAGACTGTTGGCCCATCCCATTCAGTATTGCCTACTCAGGCTGGAAGCAGCTCTCCAGGCTTTCAGACAGAGGTCTTTCACATCTCCAGTTAAAAAGATCTGTTAGTACATGGCCTGAGACTCTGCAGAGCCGTAGCCAGTCTAAGTAGACAATACTGATGTTGATGGACTGACGTTGAAAGTGATTCAGTGCATGTTCACTTTCTAGGGCAATCTCTTCATGACGATGATTCACAACAGGCTAAACCAGTGACTCAGTGTGAATGGAAAATATATGATAGGATATGCCCCAAAACCCACCACAGGGTGCCAAAGTTCTAAAACTGACCAGTCAATTTGAAGTGATCTCTGAACATAGAAAGTTAGAAAACCCCTATAGTACACTCTGATGGGCACAGCCAGCTCCATGGTATACCTGTAGCCCACTCTGTACCTCATTATTCTTGCTCTTCTTCCCTGACTTCTTAGTGACTGTGTTGCCAATGATAACACTCAGTCACCTTTGTTGCTCAACCCCGACAAAATCTATTGTGTTTATTATAAGAGAATAATGTTTACAGGAAGTCAATGAATGTAAGAGAAGCCATACTGGATCAGGCCAATGGCTCATCCAGTCCAACACTCTGTGTCACACAGTAGCCAAAACCTAGGAGCCGTCAGGAGGTCCAACAGTGTGACCATCACTCTAGAAGCCCTCCCACTGTTGCCCCCCCCAAGCACCAAGAATACTGAGCATCACTGCCCCAGACATAGTGTTCCATCTATACCTTGTGGCTAATAGCCACTGATAGACCTCTGCTCCATATGTTTATCCAATCCCTTCTTGAAGTTGTCTGTGCTTGTCGCCACCGCCACTTCCTCCAGCACTGAATCCCATGTGTTAATTACTCTTTGGGTGAAGAAGCAATGCCCTTCCTCCCTTTCAAAGAAACTATCGGGCAACTGTGTATTGTTTTCCCCACTGCAGTGGCTTTACCGATGGCTTCCGATCTGGAGCTGTACGACGTGTCACACAGCAGCATGAAAGTGAAGTGGAATGGAGTAGCAGGCGCAACTGGGTATATGGTTCTGTATGCTCCTCTTACTGACGGGCTAGCGGCAGATGAAAAGGAGGTGAGGGTGCTTGGTGTCATTCAAAACTGTCATTCTCTCGTCCAGTCTACAGGTCTCTGTAATTCTGCATGTTTGTTAAGTAAAGTCACGATGAATCCTTGCTTTGAAATGCTTGTGTATTTTTCTGGGAAAAGAAAACATTTCTCCTCAATGAAACAGCTTACTAATACTAATCCATTCGTCCTGGATGGCCCAGGCTAGCTTGATCTCATCAGGTCTCAGAAGTTAAGCAGGATCAGTCCCGGTTAGTTCTTGGATGGGAGACCACCAAGGAAGCCCAGGGTTGCTATGCAGAGGCAGGCGATGGCAAACCACCTCTGTTCCTCTCTTGCCTTGAAAACCCTACGGGGTTGTCATAAGTTGCCTGCGACTTGATGGCACTTTCCACCATTCATCTAAACCAAGGATGGGCAAAAAGTAGACCACAGAACACTGGCAAAATCCTATTTCACTGCTTGGCTTCTGGTGGCTGCTGTTACCTCTGCAAAGGATGCAGGACTTCGGTCTGATCCTGCAAGGCATTTATGAAGAATATCTACTCAGGATCACTTACTATTAATTATGCCTTCACCATTAAACAAACCTGAGGACACCTTTGTTTGCGCTGTAATTTTAAAACATCTGTCGTGGATGACAGGGATTCTGATTTCGGCAGCCCACCTAAGAAAATTTTGGAAGCCAACCATTTCCCATCCCGGTTTCTACTTGTGAAGTTTATATTTCTGTATCCATTCAAGTCAGAAGACTTAAATGTCATTCAAGGTAGTGAAAAGAGCGCTGAAACTTTCTAGGGACTCGCAGAGACTTGTGTTTTGTTCTTTGCAAGATTTACAGCAATGGGCAGGTACCCCTTACTGGAAACGTGCTGATCCTAGCAAGCCCGAGAACCTCACCCTATAGAAAGATTATTTTTAAAAAACAAGCCAGTCATTATTATGATTACAACGCCCAGTGAAGATGCTCAAGGGGACAACAGCATTCATTTTAAATTGCAAATTGCATTTACAGTACCTGGACCTCACCCTATTGAAAGAATTTTTACCGCATTAATCATAGCTGCCTCCCAGCTTCTCTGTAATATGTCTATTCCAGCTGCCATTTTGAGAAATATTTCTAGCTGTAAAAATGAAAAAAAGAACATGACATGGCCACATATGTCAATGAAACCTAGAGGTGTTATACCTGGGCGCCTTCATCCTTTCACAGTAGAGAGTTTTATAGACTTCCAGTTAGATAAGCTTGAGCTTGTATGTCTCGGGAACAGAATTACCCTTTCTGCCTCTACCTTAATTCACTTTTTTGGCTACTGCTTCTCCTATGCAATGTGGTGTCAAGAGGGGGCCGTTTGTGGAAGAAGAAGAAGAAGAAGAAGAAGAAGAAGAAGAAGAAGAAGAAGAAGAAGAAGAAGAAGAAGAAGAAGAAGAAGAAGAAGAAGAAGAGGAGGAGGAGATTGGATTTATACCCCGCCCTTCACTACCCAAAGGTGTCTCAGAGCGGCTTACAAACTCCTTTCCCTTCCCCTCCCCACAACAGACACCCTGTGAGGTAGGTGGGGCTGAGAGAGCTCTGACAGAAACTGCTCTTTTTTTTCAAGAACTGCTGTGCCAGAACTATGGCTTGCCTCCCCATCCAGCCAGGTGCAAGTGGAGGAGTGGGGAATCAAACCCGGTTCTCCCAGATTAGAGTCCGCGCACTCAACCACTACACCAAACTGGAGGAAAATAACTGCTTGCTTAATATATTTCCTGCCCACCATTTCCCCCCCTATAACTTGCTTCTAGCTCCATTGCTTGGCCCCCAAGGGGGGGATCCAGTCCCGTGTTTATGCCTCATGATTTGCCCCCCCCCGCCCCGCCTTGATGCCACTCTGCACAGGATAAGCGGCATCTGTTGTTTCAAGAATACAAGATGGCGGCAGAACAGAGAAGATCTGCCCTGGAAGCCTCTGCTTTGTGGGGAAGCGAGTTGATCGACTTGCAGTTCCGCACAGGGCTACTCCTGTTTAAGCCAAGTGATATTAATGGGTTTAAACAAAGTAACTATAGAGGACTGTACTGTTGCACTTTCAAATTGTTTATGATAATCAAGCTGTAGGACAGATGTGTGGGACTGATGCCCAATTGGGGGGAAAATCATTTGTGAATCAGCTCCACATGAATGTGTACCGCTGCCCTACTTCTCTTTTGTTTTGGTACGACAGACTAACTCAGCTGCCCCACTGGAATGTTCTTATCTTATTGTAAATATACATCATTCCTTTACATGGAAGTCCATCATCTCCCCTTCCTCTACATGTACTATTTAATCAGTAAAAAGGTAAAGGTAAAGGCTTCCCTTGCTCGAAAGCCAGTCGAATCCGACCCTAGGGTTGCGGTGCTCATCTCCGTTTCAAAGCCGAAGAGCCAGCGCTGTCCAAAGATGTTTCCGTGGTCATGTGGCCGGCATGACTAAACACCAAGGCGCACAGAACACTGTTACCTTCCCACCAAAGTGGTACCTATTTATCTACTTGCAATTTCTTGCTTTTGAACTGCTAGGTTGGCAGGAGCTGGAACTAGAGACGTGAGCTCACTCCGTCATGCGGCACCCGGGTCTTGAACTGCTGAACTACCGACCTTCCACAGCCTGCAGTTCAGCGTCTTAACCACTTGAGCCACCGCAGCTCCACTTTTCTTATCTTACTGTATGTTCTTATCTCACTGTAAATATACATCATTCCTTTACATGGAAGTCCATCGTTTCCCCTTCCTCTACATGTACTATTTAATCGGTACAAGAACATAAGAAGAGACCTGCTGGGTGGACCAGAGGTCCACCTCATTCAGCATCCTCCTTCCCAGACTGTGTACCTCGGAGCATCAGTTGCTGCAGACAGAGCAGCAGAGGGCTATTCACCATGCCCTGCTCGTGGGTTTCCTGGAGGCATCTGTTTAGCTACTATGGGAAGTAGGGTGCTGACCATTGTGGGAAATAGGATGGGAGACCACCATGGAATACCAGGGTCAGTACGCAGAAGAAGACAATGGTAAAACACTTCTGAAAGTTTCTTGCCTTGAAAATCCTAGGGGTTTGCCATAAGCCAGTTGCGACTTGATGGCACAAAACCAAAACAAAAAAAATAAGTGGTCATGACTACATTGCATCGTAGTGAATCCCACAAGTCACTCTGAGAGAAGAAGAACTTCCTTTCATCCGTCCCGCGTCTACCTCCCATCACCTTTGTGGGGTAATAACCCTCAAATTCCAGCCTTATGAGAAAAGGAGAAGAGGTTCTCATGTTCCCTCTAAGCTGTGGAGTCTTGTGAGCAAAAATTCTGCTTTGTGAGCTACTAGCATTAGCGCTGTGAGCGAGCCATTTGGCTACTGTATAAATTAGTTTGCTCTGGAGCCCTCCTTCCTGAGCAGAGACAACAATGTGTGAGCCAGGGGCTAAAAAACTGTGAGCTAGCTCACACTAACTCAGCTTAGAGAGAACACTGGGGGTAACCCTCAAATTCTAGCCTTATGAGAAAAGGAGAAGAGGTTCTCTCTTATCCACTTTCTACACTCTGTGCATAAATATTTTAAACCTCTGTCAACCCCCTCCCAAATCCAGTCTTCTTACTGTTCTAAGCTGAAACACCTCATACTCTTTAGCCCTTCCTTGTAGAGAAGGTGTTCCCATCCACAGATCATTTTAGTTGTCATTTTCTGCGACATGTTCCGGTGGTAAAGGTGTATTTATGAACTGTTTTGCATTTTGCAGCTGAAAGTTGGAGAGAACTCAAGAGATATTGAGCTGGAGGGATTGCTGCCTAATACGGAATATACAGTCACAGTTTATGCAATGTTTGGAGAAGAAGCCAGTGATCCCCTTACTGGACAAGAAACGACACGTATGTAGTTTGTGTGCCTCTGCGAGCTCTGAAATCAAAACCCTAAAAAGGGTTTCACATGCTTGAAAAGGAACTTCTCACTTTAAACTCTGCGTAGACTATTGGGCTCTGCCGCTCTCTCATTTTCATTGCTTGTAAGCCCATATTGCTTCCCCCCCCCCCTTTTATGCACATGTTTTGCTCCTGCTAGTGGTTGCTTCAATATTACATCACTGAATCTCTTGCATATTTCCCTGCAGTTTTAAAATTCTGAAGAAGACAGAGTCAGGATTCAAAATGATCTAGATAGGCTGGGACAGTGGGCTGAGACAAAATTAATTTCAATAGAGATAAGTGCAAAGTCCTACACTTAGGTACAAAAAATTAAAGGCACAGATATAGAATGGGAGGGACTTGGCTTGACAGCAGCACTTGTGAAAGGGATCTAGGTGTTCTGGTTGATCGCAAGCTAAACATGAGCCTGCAGTGCGATGTGACTGCGAAGAAAGCTAATGCAATCTTAGGATGCATGAACAGAAGCATTGTGTCCAGATCACGGGAGGTAGTAGCTCCGCTCTATTCTGCCTCACCTGGAGTCTGCCTCACCTGGAGTCTGCCTCACCTGGCGTCAGGCCTCACCTGAAGTACTGTGTCCAGTTTTGGGCACCACATTTTAGGAAGGATGTTGACAAGCTCGAGCGTGTCCAGAAGAGGGCAACCAGGATGGTGAGAGGGTTGGAATCCAAGTATTATGAGGAAAGGCTGAAAGAGTTGGGTATGCTTAGGTTGGGAAAGAGAAAGCTTAGAGGGGACATGATTGCAGTCTTCAAGTATTTGAAGGGCTGTCATGTAGAAGATGGAGCGGATCTATTCTCTCTTGCTCCAGATTGCAAGACTAGATCTAATGAGTGGAAATTACAAGGGAGTCGTTACTGGCTAAATATCAGGAGAAAATTCCTAACTGTAAGAGTGGCTGAGTAGTGGAACAGACTGCCTCGGGAGGTGGTGGATGCTCCTTTGCTGGGCGTTTTCAAGTGGAGCCTGGACGACCATCTTTCAGGTATGTTGTAGGGCTATCTTTCAGCTATGCTCCTGCAGAGTGCAAGGGGTTGGACTAGATGACCTGCCAGGTCCCTTCGAACTCTAACATTCTATGATTCTATTATTCTAATATGCAGCAAATACAGCAATATCATATCAAAGTGACCACTAGAGGGAGCAAAACACCTGAAGAAATGGGGGGGGGGGAACCTGAAGCAATTGGGTTACACAAGTGTCAAAAAATGAGAATGCAAAAGAGCCCTATTCCTGGAGGCATTTTATAGGGAACCGAGAAGACAGGGGAAATACCCCTTCCACTGGTGTTTGCAACCATATGCAGGTTTTCGTCAAAACCACCCATACCACTGATCATTATCATAAGGTATAAAAATAATCACAGTGAACGCTCTTAATATACACTATGGCCTGCAATATGGCCTGCAATCCTATGAACACTTCCTTGAGAGCAGGCCTGAGTGAGTAGACCTCCTTGGGCTTGCTCTCTTGGTCTTGGATGCGTCCCAGAGAAGGTCTTGTAGCTTTGCTATGAGCTTTATCCCCCCCTTCCTAACTTTAATTGCTTTGCCTTCCACTGCTGACAGGATGCCCTTGTTTAATTTGTCTGCATTTTGTTTGCCAGCCATACCTCTGTGTTCCAGACTCTACAGTGTATTCTTACCCACCCACCCCTGATTGCTGATCTCTCCCAAAGGCAAAATTTCACTGGGAATGTGTCCGGAATCACCTTTCTACAATGTGTATGTTGGAAGACTTCCCAGTACAGGGGTCCCCAAGTGTTGTGCCCAAGGGTGCCGTGGCGCCTGCTGACTCCTTTCTCGGCATCCGCCAAGTGTTTTTATAAAGGGGGTGGGACTCTTGCCCAGCAGGGCTTCTGATTGGCCACTGAAGATCCAGCTGGCTATGCGGATGAAAACAGCATTGTTTCAGTGGCGCCTGCCACCACAGTGTTTGTTTTATTCTCTCTCACTCTTATTTCCTAGTGTATTTTTAAAAATTATCCCTCTTCTCCCCTGCCCACGGGCTTTTCTCTCTTTGTGTGGCTCTGCCTCTTGAGACAGCCATTTTTTGGTTGTGGCCATAAGGAAGGCCGAGTGCCGAAGAATAGATTCTTTTGAACTCTGGGGCTGGAGAAGACTCTTGAGAGTCCCTTGGACTGCAAGAAGATCAAATCAGTCCATCCTAAAAGAAATCAACCCTGACTGTTCCCTGGAAGGCCAGATAATGAAACTGAAGCTCAAATACTTTGGCCACCCAATGAGAAGGGAGCACTCACTGAAGAAGACCCTGATGCTGGGAAAGATTGAAGGTCAAAGAAGACGGGGACGGCAAAGGATGAGATGGTTAGACAGTGTCATAGATGCAACGAACATGAAATTGAGCAAACCTCAGAGGACGGCGGAAGACAGGAGGGCCTGGTATGATCTTGTCCATGGGGTCGTGAAGAGTTGGACTCGACTGTGCGACTGAACAACAACACCCCCCCCCCAAAAAAAAAAACCTCCACCCTGTGTCAAAATCCAAAGGTGCACATAGGCTGAAAAAGGGTTGGGGACCCCTGTCCTACAATATTATGTCCAAAATTGTAAGTTTCCTGGCTGGCACATACTCTGTGATAGTATAAAGGAATCCAAGTATTCTGATCCAAAGTTGTTTCCAGTACTAAACGATATACTATCAAAACTGAAGGTGAGTTTCGTCTGGAGGGTTGCCAGTCTCCTGGTAGTACAAAAAGAAAAAGAAAAAAGGAAACTGTGTCCTAAATAAGAAAATATACTTATATATGAAATTCTTCAACACAATCAGCACCTAGAATATATCTTTATAGCATTGTTATGAGACTCTAAAGTTTCCATACAGTGTGCAATACACCATTGAAAACAAGAGTCTGTCATAAATACAAAGCTGTTAACAGAATCAATCTATGGCGTTCACGCAGGATACGCCTAAAGAGAAAATAGAAAACAGTCTCAATATATTCGAAGAAAGCTTTCATATCAGAAATTGCATTTTCTTGGAATATATTGAGACTGTTTTCTATTTTCTCTCTAGGCGTATCCTGCTTGAACGCCATAGATTGATTTTGTTAACAGCTTTATATTTATGATAGACTCTGTTTTGAATGGGGTATTGCACATTGTATGGAAACTTTAGAGTCTGGTAACAATGATATAAAGATATATTCTGGATTCTGATTGTGTTGAAGTATTTCATATATGCTTTAAGCAGGGGTCATTTCGTAGAAAAAGAGGTGCAGGAGCTCATTAGCCTAACTTATTAGCCACCGCTCAGGCTCCACTGGGCTGTTTTGGATTGCTAGCTATTGGGGGGGGGGGGACATGCAGATCTGTCCCCGCAGAGGAGGGAGAGCTTGTACCTGAATAAAACTTGGTCTTAAAGGTGCCACTGAACTGTTTTGGGCCGGGGGGAGCTCCTCAACTTACCTGGCTGCTTCTTGCTCTGAGTGAGGGCTGCTGGGAGCAGGGGGCGGGGCTTGTTCCAGGTGTCTGCCCCCGCCACTGAACTGTTTTGGGCCGGGGGGAGCTCCTCAACTTACCTGGCTGCTTCTTGCTCTGAGTGAGGGCTGCTGGGAGCAGGGGGCGGGGCTTGTTCCATGTGTCTGCCCCCTGGGCTCTTGACTGCCGGAGCTCCGATCCTGTGTGCTCCTGCAGGAAATGACCCCTGGCTTTAAGTATATTTTCTTATTTAGTACACAGTTTCCTTTTTTTTTGCTTCACCTGCAGTGTGTATCTCCAGTTTGTTTTTTGTGTCACCTGGTAGTGGCTGGAGATCTCCTGGAATTACAACTGGTCTCTAGGGTTGCCAGGTCCGACTCAGGAAAAATCTGAGGACTTTTGGGGTGGAGCCAGGAGCAAGGATGTGACATCACTTTTGTGATGTCACTAGGGTTGGCCCAGTGAGGCTGACAAGCCAGAAGGGGGTTCTGGCCCTCATATTTAGAGGGGCCACATTCCTTCTAAATGCTTTCCCTCCATAGGAAATAATGGAGGATGGGGGCACCTCCTTTTGGGGCTCATAAAAATTGTACTTTGTGAGCAACTGGCATTAAAGTTGTGAGCAAGCAATTTGGCTACTGCATAAATTAGTTTGCTCTGGAGCCATCCTTCCTGAGCTAGCCAAAAATCTGTGAGCTGGAGGCTAACAAACTATGAGCTAGCTCACACTAACTCAGCTTTGAGGGCACAGTGCCACAACCAAGCCCCAGATATCTCGGTAGGTGGTGGATGCTCCTTCACTGGACGTTTTCAAGTGGAGGCTGGATGGCCATCTTTCGGGTACGTTGTAGGGCTATCTTTCTGCTATGCTCCTGCAGAGTGCTGGGGGTTGGACTAGATGACCTGCCTGGTCCCTTCCAACTCTAACAATCTATGATTCTAATATGCAGCAAATACAGCAATATAATATCAAAGTGACCACTAGAGGGAGCAAAACACCTGAAGAAACAGGAAAAAAAACCCTGAAGCAATTGTCAATTATACCCTATGGGGACCAGTCTCCAGAGGGTATAATGGAGTGCCAAGCGGCCATTCCCCCCATTTTTGACAGCCCTGTAGCGGGGGGAGGGGCTCCAGGCCAGGGGATCCCCTGCCCCCAACGGGGGATTGGAAGCCCTACTGGTCTCTAAGTTACAAAGATCAGTTCTCCTGGAGAAAATGGCTGCTTTGGAAGGTGGAGTATGTTGCATTATTTCACACTGGGGCCCCTCCCCTCCCCAGCCCCCCTCAGGCTGCACCTCCAAAATCTCGGATTGTTTCCCAACCCAGAACTGGCAACCCTATTTGTCTGAGAAGCAAACTACATACTAACTGCCTATAAGAACAGTTGTGATCATTTTTTAAAAAAATTAAAAGCTGCTTTGGAATGCTGGAGTCCAGTATGGCTGCAGTTCCCTGTGGCAAACGCGTGTTGAAGCGTAAAATGTCGTTGAGGCCTTTGTGGGAGTGAAGTGTTGTGCCGAAGAGTTCACAGAAAGAGTGGGCTTTGAGGAGAAACGTAAAGGAAATGAGAAATATGGCATTGTACGGGTGCTCTGGGAGGCCGTTCCAGGCATGAGGATTGGCAAGGGAAAAGCAGTGGAGGTGTTTGAGAGAGGCGGAGATACTTCAGATTTGAATTCCGCTTGAACTCAAGTGCTTTGGCTTTAGGGGCCTTTAAAACTGCCTGTCTTGATTTTTAAGAGCTATTGAAAGAAAAGAAAAACAAAAGAAAAAGTGTTCAGGATTTTGAACTTTTCTCCTCGAAATTTTGAACTTTTCTCCTCTCTCTTCAAGTGCCTTTAAACCCACCGCGGAACTTGAGGTTTTCAAATATTGAACACAGTTCGGCTAAGGTATCCTGGGATCATGCTTCTAAAAAAGTGAACGGTTATCGCATTATGTATGTTAAGACAGATGGAACAGAAACCAATGAGGTAAACAGATTTTTAAAATTGTTGAATAAATGGGTTTTGAAAAATACATGTCCTGTTTGCAGAATATCTATATCCAGGGGTCATTTCGTAGAAAAAGAGGTGCAGGATCTCATTAGCATAACTCATTAGCATAACTTATTTGCATATGCCACACCCCCTGACATCATCGGAAGTGTGTCAGAAGGTAACACCCACCGCTCAGGCTCCACTGGACTGTTTTGGATTGCTAGCTATTGGGGGGGGGGACGTGCAGATCTGTCCTCACAGAGGAGGGAGAGCTTGTACCTGAATAAAACTTGCTTAAAGGTGCTGTTTTGGACCAGGGCCCCGGGGGGGGGCTCTGCAGCTTACCTGGCTGCTTCTTGCTCTGACTGAGGGCTGCTGGGAGCAGAGGGTGGGGCTTGTTTTATGTGCCTGCCCCCTGGGCTCTTTACTTCTGGAGCTCCGCTCCTGTGCGCTCCTGCAGGAAATGACTCCTGTCTATATCCTATTTGCTAGTAAGTGATATGATTAGAGGATATATTTTCTTTAGGTGAAGGAAGTTGATTCAATGCTTGATGCAAAGTTTCAGGCCCAGAAGCGTGCCCCAAAATAGGTTTGGGGCAGAGGATGCTGTTTGCAAGCAAAAAATTCTAAAACCTCAGATTTGCCATTGCTGGTGTCAGTCTGTCCTTCACAGTTGGGTCAGATGTTGGCTATTATGGAAGTATTGTTTTATTTCTTACATCTTGTTTATAAATCTTAATAAGTAAGCAACCTCAAAAGAAGTTTGGTCAAACAGTGAACGCCCACACAAGTGCATATACCGTATATGTACACACATTCTTTTACTGAGCTGAGGCATTAATCTTGAGTGTTGGTGTGGAGAAGTACAGTTGCCACCTTTCACTTTCCCAGATGGCCTCTGTCTGGGACAGATAATTCTGGAGCTCCTTGACTGGAGCTCAAGATGTTTCTTTTGAAAGAACAGCTATGGAGACCCAAGATGGACTGGGGCTGCAGGCTGGCTCTCCCCCTTGCACCATTTCCTGATTGCAAATGCTGCCCTCCGTGCTACCTTAAGCTCCAGTGGAGAAAAAGACAGGCTCCTGTACTGAACCTGTCTTTTTTCCACTGGGGCTTAAAGTAGTATGGAGGGGAGTGTTTGTATAGGAGCCTGTCCTTTTCCATACTGGGGAAAAAAGATTTTTTTATTTCCTCTCCCCTACCCTAAGTGGAATAGAACCACATATTTTGCAAACAGTACCGTATTATATCTTGATAAACACAGTTTCAGAGCTTCTAAGATGTAGATGCTCTAACCTGCATTTTTCAAGTGTTCATCATTGTTTTTCTATCAGTGCTGCTCTGAAGTCTCGTCCTCTTTTCTGCCATAATGTTGTTAGAAAGTTTGGGTGGTCATGTCCATAAAAACCTAAAGTGCCTCCTTAGCTCTTAAACAGTAAAAAAAAAGTGTTTCCATGCTCTCCCTC